AAACCATGCAGCTTGCCTGTCACAATCAGTGTTAATTGTGCAATAAATAGTTTTTATTTAAAAAGACCCAAATAGGAAAAAACAAAATGGTCATCACACTCAGAGTCGGAAGCTTCTGCTGCTGCTTTACAGTCCTGTCGCCAGGATGGAGCTGAAAGGGCGGGGCCTGTTACCACGTGTGGGGGTGTACAAACTCTCCTTCGAAGAGCAGGAGGCGCTTGGGCCCTGGGCTGAAAGGCCTGGATTCAAAGCTGCCACTGACCTTCCAGGCAGCCTTGGTATCTTCAGTTTCCTATCTGTAAAAGTGGGGAGAGTAAGAGAACTGTCCTGGATGGTTTACTGAGACCATGTAACCACGGGGACTCCTAATCCAGGGAACTCGATGCCTACCGAGGTGACCCACTTCTGTTTGCTCCAGGGCCCTTCTGCATCCTGGAGAAAGGGCTCTGCCACTTTCCCAGCTGTTCTGGAAGCACGGCTCCTGGTAGCAGTGATTCTCCGCTGAATCACTGGGGACCACCTTCCGTTACTCTATTCTCACCTGGCCTCACCCGACTTCACAAGGGTAGGACCCTGGTGTCCTGGGCATCTTTCAGTGGCAAGAGGCAGAAACCTTCCCAAATTCCCTCCAGGCCAGAGGAGGAATTTTCAGGATAGAGTCAGGGGTGGGAAGCATCATGGACCCCAAAGATGGGAAGCATAGTCAGGCCTCTCTAGGGGTGGAATCAGGAGGACCAAGATTCCACCCCAGTGGAATCTTTCGGTCTGTCTGTCTGTCCGTTGGCCTCTGTCCATGTCTCTCTCTAATGCCTCCACCTCTCTGTCTCTCTCCACCCATCTTTGTCTCTCCGTATCTCTCTTCCTCTCTGTCTCTGTCTGGAGCTCCCTCTGTCTCTCAGGGCCTGGGCAGGGTGAGGCAAGCCAGATGCCCAGGGCACGACATTTAAGGAGGCACTCACTCTTGGGTGCCGACTTGGCCCTGCACAAGCCCCAGAGTGCACGCCTCCTTAAATGTGTGTCCTGGGCACCTGGCTTGCTCACCCTGGTCCAGGCCCAGCTTTTCTCTCTGTCACCCGTTCCCTCTCTTTGTCTCTCTGACTCCCTCCTATAGCTGAGTGTTTGTTTCTTTCTTGCCTCATGGTCTCTGCTCATCTCCACGTATCAGCAGCCTGCTCTGTCTGCTCTGCTGGGCGCATGGCTGAAATTGGTCGCCCTCAAGTCCAGCAATCCAGTTTCAAATTTCCAGGAGGTAAATACAGCCCAGCTCGGGTCAGCCATTCACGCCTTGTCCAGTCAGCTGTGGCCAGGGCCTGGTGTCTCCCAGGGGCTTGAGAATTGGCTCCATGAAGAGGGACTGCTCAACCTGAGGGCTGTCTTGGCTGTGGATCCCCGAGTCTGTCCCTCCCGTGTGACATGTGGTTCAGGGGTACCCCTCACTGCCAGAACACAGCTTTGCCCGGGCCTCCCTGGGAATTTGGGAAAAACAGAACCAGAACTAAGTTTGAGAACAGGCCCCCATCTCATGGTTCTTTAAATATATTGAGCGTCAAGATGCCTCCTCCTCAAACATCCTGGTTCTTCCTGCTGTATCTGCAGAAAAGAATCGTCATCTCCCATTCTTGGGTTCTGGTATTTTCTGATTTTTTTTTTTTTTGGTGAGGAAGATTAGTCCTGAGCTAACATCTGTTGCCAATCCTCCTCTTTTTGCTGAGGAAGATTGGCCCTGGGCTAACAGCTGTGCCCATCTTCCTCTACTTTATATGTGGGACGCCTGCCACAGCATGGCTTGATAAGCAGTGCGTAGGTCCGTGCCCGGGATCCGAACCTGCAAACCCCTGGCCTCTGAAGCAGAGTACGTGAACTCAACCACTACCCCGCCACAGGGCTGGCCCCAGGTTCCGGTTTTTGATGTCTGAACTGTGTGTGGTGAAACACTCTCTGCTGTCTCTCACCCACTCCTGGCCAAATGCTTTAGAGAATCTGGGCAGTGTCAAGGAGGAGGGGCAGCAGCCTTGACTCTGCAGATGAAAAAAGGGTTGGGGGGAGTCTCCAGTTGGTCCAGTTGGGGGCACAGACCACACAGGCACGGGCTAAAGGAGCCAGAGTTAGCCCGTGGGGATGGAGAAGGCTGAGGGGCACCGCCCAGCTCCTATCTCACTTCTGGCAGGAGCTCAGCAGCTGTTTTCTCTGTCTCCTCTGGGCGGCTCTGAAATTGCAGCAGGACAATTTGGGGGAGATGCAGCAGTGTCAGTGGGGAAGGTGTGGTGATGGGGCTTTGGGGCCATTTCTTGCCTTATTGGGAGATGTCAGCCAAGGCAGGGCATGGCTGCAGGAAAGTCCTGGGGACGGGGCATGGAGGCTGGTGGTGGCTGTGGAACTGGGGTCTTTAGGCTTACGTGCACAGCCTGGATTATTTCAGGGCCTGTGCCCGAATCTAGACTCTGTCTTTGGCCATGTGCTTCTGGGGGAGGCAGGACATGATCCCTAAGCTTTGCTGGCCTCCTGCAGACAGAGAGAAGAGTCCGTTCCTGGCAGAGAAGGCTCCTTATGAGCACCGGGGGAAAAGGTTATGCAGATGCAAACATAGGCAATAGGTCACTTTTATATTGTAATTATAGAGTGCAAGCTGGTGGCATCTTTCTCCAGAATCCTTTGTTCCATTCATTCATTTGACTAACATTTGCTGAGCCCCTACTAAGTGCCATTTTCTATGCCAGGTGCTGAGGATGCTCAGGTCCCCCATCCTCCAGATTACCAGGGAAGACAGGTACCTACATAAACAGAGAATTATGGTGGGATGTGATAGAGTTTCTTACAGTGGAGTACTCAAGGTGCTGTAGCAGCACAGAAAAAGCAGTTAATTCTATCTGGGGAGTCAAAAGAGGCTTCCTGGAGGAGGTGACATTTGCTCTTGAAGGTCGCATAAGAGTTTGCCAAGTGGGAAAGGAAGGTCATCTCAGGAGGGCCTGGCTGGCTTGGAGGAAGGTGAGGCATTTGGAGTAGAGGGTGATGGCTGGAGGGGATGGATGTGGCTGGAGAGGGGGAGTGGAGCAGCCTGGCCTAGTGATCTCTTAAACTCCCAGTGTTGAGCCTTTTTGCATCTGCTGCTAGAGCAGCTTCTGTTTGCCCCCTGACTTTATGTAGGATGAGGCCCCGCACAGGGGTGGGGTGGGGAGCTGGGTCTTGGAGGACAGAGGTTGTGTCTCCTAGGAAACAGCAGCTCTGCCAGAACCCCCGGGTTGCTCCGGGGGAGGGGGCTCGAGGCCCTGCGAGCCCGGCAGTGCCCAGGTTGCACACATCACCTTGGCAGTTTGTGGGCAAACCCTCTTGGCCGAGGGGAGATTGCACTGCCAGCCACTTCCTCCAGTTCCTTCCCTCTGCCTGTCGTCACGGTTACCTCGGCCTTGTTGGGGGTGAGGTTGAGGTTGGGGGGAATCAATTTTGTCCAGGTTTCTATGTTCCCAGATGCGGGTCAGCCAGAGGAGCTGTCACTTCTGGTTCTGTTTCAAAGGAGGCCAAGGGGCAGGGAGGTGCTTGGGTGCGGTGGTGTTGACAAGGCACCTCTCCAGCTAGGCAGGGTGGGAGTGGGTCAGGGAGAATCTCAGAGGTGGTGGAGAAGGAGAAAAGGCTGCCCTGCCAGCGCCTGTGCCGATGGCCGTGAGTGCTGGTCTCTGGCCAGGCCCTCGGTCCTGAGCTCCTAGAGCATGCTGGGAGTGCACGGAGAGGCTGTTTATTTTCCTGGCCCAAAGCCCTTTCGGCTGAGACCTTGTTCCAGGCCTCAGGCTGCCAGAATCAACCCCACTGGCTCGAGAAGTGAGAGAGTTGGCAAGCCCAGGGCAATCCAGCCACTTCTCTAGTGGCCTCTGACTCTAGGCTGTCCCCAGCCCAGCTGGTCCCGTGTGTCTCCAGATTCTCCTGGTAGGTAAGGGACAGTCAGGGGCACCACATCAAAGGGATCCTGGTGGGCTGGGGCTGTGTGGGCCAGTGGTCAAGAGCAGGCAGGATGAAGTCAGAGAAATCTGAGTTGGAATCCTGACTCTACCATTTCCTAGTTGTATGGGGCACATCGAACTGTTGAGCCTCGGTCTCACCATCTGTAAAATAGGACAGTAATAGGACCTTCCTCATCAGACTTTGATTGTGAGGATTACATGACCTGTGTTTAAAGCATTTAGCAAAGTAGGCAACAAACAGCAGCTCTTGTTACTAGTATTATTAATGAAACAATAATAACTGCAACTTTGATTGAAAGTCAGTGTTGGGGGGTAGTGAGCTTCCTCCTTCACATTTAATGGGCCCTGTTTCATGCACGGTGAATTTCCTAATGTTGCCTGGGAGAGAAGCAAGCCTGGAGATGCAGGGGGCCCCTCTGCCTGTGTCCCATGCAGGGCACTTCAGGGATCCCGTGGGATCCTGGGGGAAGAACGTGCAGAGGCAGGGAACAGGATTAAAAACAGGTGAGGAGGCTGAGGAGACTGCTTAGTCGGCAAGGAGATAGATCCGGGCATTTGGAAAGACCAAGAGGGAGGGTGAAGTTACCTTAAGGAGGTGAAGGGGCGGGGTCGGGGGCAGAATGTGAAATCTGCTCATGCTCAAGGTGTTTTCAAAGGAAGTGCCTGGGAACCACTGGCCTGGAAAATAGTGCCTAGAGGGCTTGGCTGGGCAGGAGAACAGACCATCACCGCCCGTTGGGTGTCACCTCTGTGTGAGTAGACTCGCCAGGCTCAGGGCTCCTGAACTCTAGCAGAACCCAGGTAGCCCTGCCCCCAGGGACACTGACTCTTCCCAGGGATGCCCATCTGCTCTGAGAAGGTCCTTGGGCTGCCTGGGAAACATTTCCATCTCATCAGCTAAAGGCCAGGCTGCTGGCCGACAGTGACGGCTCGTTCACTGCCGAGATGTGGGTTAGGAGGGGGACTGTCCATCTGTCTGTGCGTCGGGAGGGAAGCCGTACCTCAGGCCTGCCTCAATGCCTAATCGGTGGCTCTTTGCCCTCACAGCTAGACGAGGAAGAGGAGCGAAGGAAAAGGCGCCGGGAGAAGAATAAGGTCGCAGCGGCCCGATGCCGGAACAAGAAGAAGGAGCGGACGGAGTTTCTGCAGCGGGTGAGCAGGGCCGCTGGCCAGGGCGGGGGGCCTGCCTTGTTCTTTGGAGTGGGCTTTGAGCTGTGGACCAGGAGATGTCATCAAAGCCTGCAGACTCAGTGTGTACCTGCTGGCATCTGCGCCTCTGCTCTTCCCTGCCTCCTATGTAACCCCCCTTCCCCGAACCAAGACAACCAGGGCAGCCTGCAGCAGCTCCAGCCCACCCAGATCCCTGGAAGGCCAGAGAAGGTGGGAGGAGCTGAGCTCCCCTCCTCTAATTGAGGTTAGACCCTCGGTGCTGATTGGCCCGGATGGCCTGGGACTGGTACTACCCATTTTGGTGCCCTGGTGGCTGCCAAACTTGTCCAGGGTGGGTGCTGATGCAGAAGGTGATAACGCCATGCCTGCGGGCTTTGGACGCAGCACTGGGCAGAGGAAAGCTCCATCCCTTGGCTGGGGAAGGCTCTTCCAGCCCTGCCTCCCTGGCTGGCCTCAGCCCCACTGAAGCTGACCCCAAGCTCTTCGCTGCTGCCCCGGGGACCAGAGGTCCGCTGTGCATGCAAAGGCCAGCAGAGGGTTGCCTTTCCTGAGTCCCATCTTATAGGCCTTCCCTGCTCCTCAAAAAGGTAGACGGCAGTGAAGGAACATGACCAGAAAGCTAACTAGTCCAGGCCAGTGGTCTCCAGCCTCCGCACCCCCAGTCCCTTGTTCATTTCTAAATAATAATAGTAACAATAAATAATAATAACATCATGGGTGAGGCTCTGTTCTACAGTATGCAACAATTCACAGTAGTTGCTAACATTCGTAAAGTTGGGCACTGTGCGAAGTGCCGTGTGTACATTATCTCACTGTATTGGCATACTAACTGTATGAGGTGAGTGCCTTCATTATTCTCTGTCTACAGATGGGGAAACTAAGGCATGATGAGGTTAAGGAACTTGCCCAGGACCCTCAGCAGCTAAGTGGTAGAACTGAGATTTGAGCCTGAGGCTGACTTCAAAACATTTGTTCTCAACACTCTGCTATCCTGGCTCTAATTCATTCATTCATTCATTCATTTGTCCATTCTTTTGCTCATTCGTTGATTTGTTGACAAGTATTTGTAAGCACTAACTGCCCAGCACTGTGCCAGGTACACTGGGAGACACACAGGAAGGAACAGATGTGGTCCCTCTATGGGAGCTGGAGAGACAAGGCCAACCAAGGTTGGCCTTGGTTTTCTCTGGCACCAGGGTCTCTGTGGGTCTCTTCTCATGCTGGCAACAAGTGGAGAGCAACTCTGAGGTCATGGATGTGGACAGAGTGGGGCCATGTGTACACCTCCTGGCTATGAGTGTCTGGGGCAGGGGGAGGGTTACTATAGGTGGGGGTTATTATACTCCTGGAGCTGGGAACCCCCTTGGAAGAGACGCTGTACCCACATTGGGCACGAAGTCTTCAAGAAGTTTCTAAGACATGGGTCTCCCATGGGGCTTTAAGATGGATGGAGCTTCACATACCTCCTCCAGCCCCACATGCCTGCAGAGCTGGGCACGGCACAGCAGGGAACAGAGAAGCCTCACATCAGATCCTCGCCTTCAAGGGCTTGTCAGCCAGTTAGCAGGCAAGATATGCCAAGTGAATGTACACCAATAACACACGAGTGCAGTAAACAGTCAGTGCCAAATGAAGAGCGCTAGCTACTCTTCACATTCTGGTAACACTTGCTGTGCACCTACTGTGTGCCAGGCATTTCATGTGACTCATTTAATCTTGCAACATTCCAGTGAGATAAATATTGATTATCCCCACGTTCCTGTAGCTCAGAGAGGTCAAGTTACTTGCCTAAGCTCACGCTGCTAGCAAGTGGGATTCATTCATTCATTTGCTGATCTGTCCGTCCATCCAATAGCGTTTACTGAGTGCCCTCTGCACAGTGGACAAGCAAGTGGGCAAGCCCAGTGAGCTGTGAGAACATGCACGGGGCCCTCTCCTAGTCTAGGCTGAGGAAAGACTCTTATTGAGACATAAAAGAGGGGAGGGAGCTAACGAGATGAAGGACAGGGATGGAGGGGTTACCAGGAACAGCAGCAGCAAAGGCCAGAGGCAAGAGGTGTTCACGGATGTGATTAAGGAATTGAAAAGCGTGTCACTGTGGCGTGAGTTTAGGGAACAAGGGGAGAATGGAGAGGCAGGCACGCCCCAGATCCTTAATATGTTGGGGGGTCCTCCGTGCTGGTTGTCTGGGGCAGCCCCAGTGTATGCCTGTTGTCCTGGCCTAGTTACTAACAGCCCCTTCTTTTACTCTCACACGTGTCCCCATTAGGATGATGAATTGTATGGTCATGGGGAGCCATGGAAGGGTTTCAGGAGCAGAGTGACACACCTTAGAAAGATCCCTCTGGCTGCAGCGTGGGGCACGGATTGGGGCAGCGGAGAATAGAGCAGGAATGTCAGTTTCGTGGTTGTGGTGCTGTGCTGGCGAGAGAGGAAGGCAGCTGTGAGGACCAGAGTGCATGGCCTCGGATCTAGGAGGCAGGTTTGGGCAGGTCTGTCTGGGCCCAAGCGCGGTCTTCCCCCTGCCCCCAGGCTCCCCTCCACTCCTCTGGCCTTAGAAGCAGAGGCTGGGTGTGAGGTTCAGGGCACGAATGCAGATGGCTGTGTTGACAATCTGTGCCTGCAGACCTGGGGTATTCTCTTGCAATTTATTTTTTAATGGGTAAAATATTTACAAGGCTCAGAGGTACAAAGGGATGTGTGTGTGTGTATGTGTGTGTATACACGCATGCATACACACATATATGTATAATGTAAACAGTCACCCTCCCATCTGACCCCTGGACACCCAGATCAGTCCTGGGAGATTCTTATGGCATCTCAGAGTTTGCCTGCCTGGACCAGCCAAGGAGGTGGGATGCAGGCCTTTGGGTGGATCAGATCCACACCCTGCAGGCCCTAGGGCTACCTCATTGCCTCCTCTGTCTGCATTAGGAGCAGCAGCCCCTGGGCTTCTCTTTCTGTAGCGCAGCCTCTGTAACGCTGCTGTTCCCAACACAGGTTCCCCGGGTACTGGTAGCATTAACACCATCTCACGCTCCCATGGCGCTCTGCGCTCTTCGTGGCCGCTCTCTCCTTGATGGTCACAGTGACTCTGGGAGGAGGCAAGGCAGCCCCATTCTGCTGACTGACGAGGATTCTGAGACTGGGAGGGATTAGTTTGCTCAAGGTCACACCGTGGCCAAGTCACGACTAGAACCCAGGGCTTCTTCTGCTGCCCAGCACTCTATTCAGGTGGCCCAGGCTCAGGGAAATTGGGGGTCTCTTTCACAGCACATAGCTAGCAAGTAGCAGAGTCAGGATTTTAATTCAGACAGGTCTTTGGGGCTCAGAAGGCTGCACCAGACTTCTTCCCAACTCTTACAGAGAATTGGAAGGTGGGATTCTATTTTAAGTGCATTAGGGTAATTTTTTTTTTAAATAGTCAGAGAATCTTAATGCTTAAAGTCCCCTGGGCCAATTATTATCTTTTCTGAGAGGAAACTGAGGCCCAGAGAAGGGAAATGACTTGGCCAAGGTCTCACAGCCTGGATGAAAAACCAGGACACCCAGCTGCTCACCCTGTATTTTTTCCACTGCCTTTGCTGACCACAGTGGAGGAGACAGAACCTTCACTTGCACTAATTCTATTCTAAAACAACAAATGGTTTCATTTTCTCTAGGGCGATAAAATCAGAAGACAAAACGATAAACACGAATGCAAGCAGAGTTATTCACTTCATAATTAGCGTGTGAAGATCCTAGCCTAGGTTCCTTAATTAATTAGGAAAACAGGCCAGGTAATTGCTGTTATAAAACCACAAACCACTCCTACAATCATGGTTGAAAAACATTCTTCTGAACTCAACTTATACTTACACAATAAATAAATATGTAGCACCACCCAATAAAACAGAAGGAAATAAAACTAAAATCAGTTAGTTACATTCTGACAGCCAGACAGTCAGAATTCAGGATTTTCCATGATATCCTCTCACATTTTAAAACCAACAGGGGGCCGGCCCCATGGCTTAGCAGTTAAGTGCGCGCGCTCCACTACTGGCGGCCCGGGTTCGGATCCTGGGCGCGCACCAACGCACCGCTTCTCCGGCCATGCTGAGGCCGCGTCCCACATACAGCAACTAGAAGGATGTGCAGCTATGACATACAGCTATCTACTGGGGCTTTGGGGGCAAAATAAATAAATAAAATTATAAAAAAATAAAAATAAAAAAAATAAAACCAACAGGATGCAGCGCTGTGCCTATGATAAGTGTGGAGCAAGTTGTCACAAGTCTACTTGGTCTTTTTTGTATGATACAGATGTTCACATATAAGGTTGGTTTGACACATGGTCTTTTTAAGGAAATGGATCTGTGTGCAGGACTGTTGAATGCCGCGTGTCGGACACTGCCTCTTGCGTGTCCAGTTTTAACTTCCACTCACTGTACAACCCCACTCCTTCCTGGCCCCCCACCTCTAGAGCACCCCACCCCCGGGTCCTTGGACCCTTCCCCCAGGCTCACAGGCACCTCTCTTCCCCATCTCCCATTCTCCAAATCCAGGCAGTGACCTGCCAAGAGTTCCTTGCAACATCCTCCTCCTCTGCTGCTTCTGCTCCTTCTCTCTCTTCATGTTCTCTTGCTCATAGTTTCAAGTACAAATTCCTTAAGCCTCCCTAACCCTGCAGTTTACAAAGTGCTTTTCCCATGTGAGTTCATCTAATCCCCATGATCATCATCTTTTTACGAAGAGATAACTGAGGTTCAGAGAAGTTAAGAAACTTGCTCTAGACTCTGATTCCAAACCCTACCAGCTCTTCCCAGTCTGGTTCTAAACCCACCTTCCCGGCTTTCTACCCCACTATGTCCTAAAGCGACTGTGGTCACAATGGAGAATTTTTATCCTCTAAACACATCTGAAGGTCTACAGTTTCTGTGTCCTTGTTCACTCGGGGCTCCCTTCCCAAAATCCCTCCCGGCCACCCAACCGTCTCTACTCAACCAGAGTCAACCTATTTTTCAAACCCAAGGTCAGACCCAGTCATTTAGTCCTCTCTGAAGGTCTTCGACACCCTGGATGGCTGATGGGCACATGGTCAGCTCTGCCCCGCTGTGTGGATCATTCTTCTTAGAGTGGAAACTGCACAAGAGCCGCGTTGGGGCTCATGGGCCTCTGGATTCCCCCAGAGCCTTCATTGTACACAGCAGGTCCTCAGCAAATACTCACAGGTGGGTGGATTGAACTGAGGCTCCTAGAGGCAGAGGCTCAGGATTCCAAGTCGTAGCTAAAACCTTTGCTGGGGAAAACCAGATGGTCAGAGGGTTTGTGAGAAATTCCCAAGGTCACCAGCTCTTCAGACCCAGTGAGCAGGCAGCTAATAAGATTAGCACCTAACGGCCCCAGACTGACAGGTCACGGACTCGTGGTTTCACGTGGCGTCTCTCCTGGCCCTCTTGGAATTCTGAGAACAGTGGACCAGGCCAGCCTCGCTGTCATGCCTCATCCTGTTGAACCAAAAACCACCATAGCTGGTTTTTAATATTTTCCTCCTGAGCATCTTTTTCCTTTTTTGAGGCTGTTCTCCCTCAGCATCTGGTCACGAGGACTGCACATCTCAGCAGTTCTGAGTCCCCCGGGTGCTCGGCTGCCACCTCAGAGATGAGCACAAGGAACAATTCAGTCAAACCGGCCGGTGTGAGGAAGACAGCAGCCCTGGGATGTGTGTGGGCCCCACTGAGGGCCCTGGAGACCCCAGAGGGAGGCTGTCAGCCCGTGCCCCACCAGGGGGAGGGGAAAGCTCATAGGCCTAAGCCAGTGCCATGTAGCCCAGTTGTCACACACACAGCTGTTCCTTGTCTGATACAGATTGCTCATCCTCAGCACCGTTGACATTTTGGACTAGATGGTTCTTATGGTGGGGCCGTCCTGTGCACTGCAGGATGGTTAAGAGTATCCCTGACCTCTACCCACTAGATGCCAGGAGCACCCATCCTCCCCAGTTGTGACAACCAAAAATGTCTCCAGACATTGTCAGATGTCTCCTGGGAGGCAAAATTGTTCCTAGTTGAGAACCACTGGTCTAAAACTTTGCTGGCCCTTGAGTAAATTCCAGCTCTCAAACTGGTATAAGTTTTCAGACAGAGTCTAAGAAATAGCTTTCAGACGCTTTTCTATTTTACTGTTTTGACCCCCGAGCCTTGAGTTGGTATGCCCATCACCTATCCACACTATGAACATGTAAACAACCCCCAAAATCACATCAACATTCCTTCGTTTCCCTGGAGCCTCTCCAACTGAGCTGGAAGTTCTTTGGAAATTTCACTTGGGATCTGTTTGAAACCTCATTTTGGATCCAGAAGGACTACTTGATTGCCTCCCAGTGAGCAAAGCTTCTAGATAACAGGGGAAAAGGAAGAGGCTGTTTACATAATTATAGGCCAATAACCAGGAAGCACGTTTTAGGAGAAATTACATGACCACGCTGGGCTTGTTGATCCCACAGGCCAAAATATCCTCAACATACTTTTATCATACATCAAAGCACCTTGCCATTGCACTGCCATCCGTGGGCCCCGTCTAACCCCTCCATGGACCCTCCATGCTCCTGCTTTATCCTCCAGGCTCCACTTGGCCTCTGTTCTTCCCCCACCCTTTGCTTCTTGTGCGAAGGCCCTGAGGCAGGAGAGTGTTTGGCATAATTGAGCAAGAGCAAGGAAGCCACTGTGGCTGGAGTGAATTGAGCGAGGGGAGAGAGGTGGGACGTGAGCTGGGCTGGCCCCAGGCTATAACCTGGGTTCATTTCACCCATGACACAGGCCAGTGTCACAGGTGTGACAGGCACTGCCTGAAGAATGTCAGTTACCCCAGGGACTCAATAGCAGATTCTGTGTTTCCTCCAGTGGGAACCTGGCAGACAGAAAACAGGCAAATGCCAACCTGGTGTGCCTTGTACATACCCAGAGGGAGAGCTGCTCCCCAGTGAAAGCTTAAAGCCCTGTCTCTGTGTTTGCACCCAGGAATCTGAGCGGCTGGAACTCATGAACGCGGAGCTGAAGACCCAGATCGAGGAGCTGAAGCAGGAGCGGCAGCAGCTTATCCTGATGCTGAACCGGCATCGCCCCACCTGTATCGTCCGCACCGACAGCGTCAAGACCCCCGAGTCAGAAGGCAACCCGCTGCTCGAGCAGCTAGAGAAGAAGTGACCGTGGGCTGGGAGGAGGAAGAGGAGGAGGAAGAGGAGATGGGAAGAGGGAGGAGGAGGAGGAGGGTCCCCGAGTGCCCTTCCTTGGTGCGTGAAAGACTTTACAATGAGGTTCAGCACAGCCAGCGGCGGCCGAGCTTTTTTGTGAAACTCCGATCAGCCTCACAAGGGGAAGAATGGGCTGACGAAACCCAGAAGGACCAAGCGCTGAGACCAAAGTAGACCCGAGGGTGGGGCTGTCCTGCTGGGGCCAGCTGGAAGGAGGCAGGACAGAGGCACCCGGGCCGGAGAGACGCCCAACCAGACAGCCTCGGGCACTTCTCCAGCCTCTCTACCAGGGCACCTACCCGAGGGACCCCCCGAGCAGCCAGGAAAAGCCATGAGTTGCAACCAAAATTCGGCTGAGGATGGAACTCAGAGTGAAACTGCAATCTGCCTGCCCCGGGCCTGACCCCTGACCCCTGACCCCCATGCGAGGCTGGAGAGGGGCCTGATGCGGGGCCCTGCTGCACCCGCCCACCTCGGTGCAGTGCAGCACCGCCCGGGAGCAGCAGCCGGGGCGCACCCTCGCGGGCCCTGCTGGAGTTTGCTGCGGGCACGAGGCGCGGGCGCCCTTCCAAAGCACATACTCACTGAATGTTTACAGACTGGCTGTCCTGGCAGGGCTTTCAACTGCACATGTTTTTTATACTTTCTTTTTTTTTAATATTTTTTACAAAAAAAAGATTTTATACAAGCAATATATATGTGGATTTCTATAATCACTCGATGTGATACAGCATAAATATGCTATGGTTTGTTTGTTACGAACAGGTATCCAGCAGTTATGGCCGTTGTGTGTAACTCCTCAGTACTGTAGTCTCTGGGTGTGGGGGTGGCCGGGGCGGGGGTGGGGTGCATTTCCATCCTGGTAAACCCTTCATAGTACTCAGTCCTGTATTGCTCAGTAAACGTTACTCTTACTTACCCAGCTGCCTCCTGTGGTGTCTGCCTAGGGAATGGGGTGCAAGGCCTGCTCAGGGGGCCTCCTGGGCTGCAGTGTCGGAGAATGTTTGGAGCATCTGCTGTGGGCCCTTGGTTTTCACAACAGCCCACTCAGGTAAGTATTTATATGCCCATTTTACAGATGAGGAAGTCGAGGCTCAGAGAAGTTAAAGAAATCTGCAGTACTTACTTCGTTTATTCACTCCACAAATATTTCCTGAGCCCCTGCCATGTGTGTGCCGGGTACTCCATGAGGTGCTGGGTAGTCACTGGGGAATAAAACAAACCCAGGACCTGTACTCAGAGAGCTTACAGTCACGAGCCAAATCCTGTGCTTGCTCCATACACGGTTTCGGTTCATCTTCACAACAGCCTTGCCAGGGAGCAGCCGCTGTCCCCAGTTCACAGATGAGTAATTAGAGGCCCAGGGAGATTCGACTTGCAGCCTCCGTTTGTTAAGGTCTTGCTGTGTGACAAGTGTATGTAGTCTCTTGCATAGCACGAAATACGCATTATTACCCCCATTTTACAAATTTAACTGAGGCTCAGAGAGGATAAGTGATTTATCCAAGGTCACCCAGCTGGCGAAGGGCAGAGCTGGTGTTTGGACTCAGTCTCCAAAGGCCCATGACTTTCCATCTGTCGCTAGTTGACTGTGATTGTCCCATGGTTGAATGTCTCACCTGATGAGAACAGGAAGCCTATGAGGCCACGGTTACAGATTTGGCTGCCAGGAGGGCTGGATAGAGTTCTGGGCTGTGCCATGATCCTGGAGTGAACCAGTGATCAGGGCAGATGTGACCTGATCCAGGAGGGGTGGATGACTCAGCCATGCCCTCACCTCCACAGCTGAGCACCTGACCCGAAGTGTGACACGCAGTAACTGCTGTTAACTGAACCCGGCACGCGACAGCTCACCAGGCACTTTCCTGCCTGTTATCTCATTTGATGTTACAGCTCTAGGAGGGAGGTGGGATAGGTGTTTTTAGCTCCTACGTATAGTTGTGCAAACTGAGGTTTACAAAGATAAAAGTTCACCCAGCTAGAAAGACGCAGAGCTTGGAGCTGAAGCCTACTTTCCTACCTTCTAATTGTTCTCTCTCCTGCATCCCTGGAGCTTGGTAACTAGCTGTTGATGATGAGGCTTCATGTCAAGGACGGCAGTGACCTTGGGTTGCTTCCCAGATCATGAACGAAGCCTTCTGGGATGGACGGGAACTGAGAATAGATTAATATACCTTTCATTCCTTCCTTACTCAGCTCAGGTCCCCTCCACCAACACATTTGGTGTGGACCCCCCGGAGCCCTGACTTGGAAGCAGGGCCTGGCCAGCCCCTGGCAGCCGTGGCAGCACCCAGTAAACTCTCGGGCTATTATCGTTTGATGTGTTTCAAGCCGTGAGAAAAACGAAGATGTGGACTTACAAGGACCTCTCAAGTGACCTGGTAGATGTTCCTGCAGGATGGCCGCCTGCCCCCGGCTGTGGTGCCTCTGGTCCTGTGCTTGGGTGCCTGGAGCCTGTATCTCCATAATAGAGCCCTCCTTGGCCTCTGGACATGGCTGTCTCCTGGAATCAGTGACTTGTGCTCTGCTCAGGCCTGCCTTTGGCGTTTCTTCCTCCCCAGGACTATGGAGAGCCAGAACTCACAATCGCAGTCTTCCTCATGAGAGTCAATGTTCGCGTGTTTCCTGTGTGCCTGGCATGTTAGATGTGTTACTGCGGCCAGTCCACATGACCTTGCCAGGAGGTAGCTGCCATCATTCCCAGGTTACAGACGAGAAAACTGAGGCACAGAGAAGAAGTAACTTGCCCAAGGTCACAGTCCTGTTGTGGCAGAGCTAGGATGTTCTTCGAGTGTGACTCCAGGTATATAAAACCGGGCCGGGCCTCCCCCCCGGGGGGAGATGCTCTGTGTTTGCAGTGTGACCTCAGCTGCCAGGAGAACTCGTGCAGGGGACGGGAGAGATGGCACATACTGAGAATTGCCAACTCTTAGACACCCATCTCCAAGTGTTCACACAGAAGATGTACTTTAAAGGCAAATAGATTCAGGAGCCAACCTTCTGACTTGCCATGAGCCTCATTTTTCATATCTGTAAAGTGGGAACAGCAATAATCCAAGTCTTTCTTAGGGGGTTGTTGTCAGGGTCAAATGAGGAATGCATGTAAAAGTGTTTTGTGGGGGCCGGCTCCGTGGAGTAGCTGTTAAGTGTGCGTGCTCCGCTGCTGGCGGCCCGGGTTCGGATCCCGGGCGTGCACCGACGCACCATTGTCAGGCCATGCTTTGGCGGCGTCCCACATAAAGTGGAGGAAGATGGGCATGTTAGCTCAGGGCCAGTCTTCCTCAGCAAAAAGAGGAGGATTGGCATGGATGTCTGCTCAGGGCTGATCTTCCTCACACACACACAAAAAAGTGTTTTGTAAAATAAAAAGCTCCATAAAATGATAATTATCTTGCCCTCTGTTAGTGTGGATAGTTATTGATATTTACCACATAGTACGAATTATTTAAATATCTTTTATTCTCTAAAGGTGGCTGCACAGTTTGTGTTCTGGCCAGGTATCCGATTCCCATGGGGATGGATGCCTGGGATCCAAGACTTCTGGGTTTGTTCGGCTCCTGAATGGCCACAGACAGCTGTGTTGGGCTCATCGTCCCCTCCCTGAGCCTCCCTGTGCCCTCCTGCCAGGTGGTCATGATAAGACTTCTGCCACCTCTGCCCAGGGTTGCTATGAGAATGGACTGTGCAATCTGAGAAGGAGAAGACCCATTAGCCATTGGATGGGCAGAAACTAGTCTGTGTTGGTCAGGATACAGAGAAAAGGGAACGTAATACGCTGCCAAAGGGAAATTGGTGTGACTACTGTGTAAAGCAATTTGACAATAATCAATGACATTAAAGTTAAACACATCCTTTGACCTAACAATTTCGTGCCTAAGTATATACCTTGGAGGAACTCGAGCATAGGGGCACAAGGAAATGTATAAGAATGTTCCCTGAAACTGGTTTTTAATAAAGAGAAATTGGAAACAACCTAAATACATGAACAGAAGAGCAGATAAACAAATTGTGTTTTCATAAAATCGAATATTCTTCAGCAGTTAAAAAGAATGAACCAGAGCTACAAGTATCGATGTGGATAAATCTCAGAAACATAATGTTGAGCTGGAGGATAAGAGAACAAGGATATATGTGAGCAGAAGGATATGTTCAGTGTACCATTTAGGTAATCTTTCTAAACAAGTAAACTGGTATTTTATTGTTAATGGGTACACACAGATCTGGCTAATAGAGGTATAAACGCATGCAGAGGAATGCTATAGATGTTAAAATCGGTAACAGGGAACCCTCTTGGGGGTGGGCAGGAAGCGGGTTGGGGATGGCATCTGCAAAGGTAAGGAGGACACTGGGTTTCAACTATACATGTAACTTTTCATTTATTTTTAAAAATCCAAATCAAATGTAGAATAATGTTAGAATTTGTCAGAGGTGGGGTGATGTGCACACAGGCGTGGGTTTTATTCTTCTCTACACTTCTCTGTATGCTTGGTGTATTTCATAATAAAAGACAATAAGCCACAAGACAAATAGAAGGTTTTGTTTTTCCATTCTGTCCTTAGCAAACTCAGGAAATAAAAACAAAATCTGAAATCACAATGGAGTTGCAGCATTTGCTCCTTGAATTTATACAAATTTAATTATATGCCTAGAGGGAGAGAGACAATTCAAAGGGTGTGATTTGTTTAGCTGGTCCTTGCAGTCAGTAAGCCCGTGCCCTGGGGCGAGAGTGCTCTGGGTGAAGGCACCTTGGGGAGTGTTGATCTGCTCACTTCAGTGGATCCAGCTCCCTACTCTCCACATAAGGGGCAGTTGAAGGCATGTGCATGTTCAAGGTTAATTTGGACTCTACATTTTCTCATTACAGGCTGACTTCACCCCAACCCCCATGTAAAATGCAGCTCTACTGCACCTTTAAGTGGAGCTGTGGGCTAGAAGCCAAGCAAAGGGGGCGTGGTTTAAAGACAGGAATCCAGTTTTCACAGGTGTGTTCATTTCCTGTTGCTGCCGGAACAAATTACCACAGATTTAAAGGCTTAAAACAACACAAATTTTATTATCTTAGAGTTCCGGAGGTCAGAAGTCCAAAATGGGTCTTACTGGGTTAAAATCAAGGTGACAGCAGGCCTGCATTCCTTTTGCAGGCTCTAGGGGTGAATCCGTTTTCTTTCTTTTTCCAGTTTAGGGAGATTGCCCACAGTCCTTGGCTCATAGCCACTTCCATCTTCAAAGCTATCAATGGCTGGTTGTCTTTTCACTTCATGTTACTCTGACAACAACTCTTCTGCCTCCCTCTTCCATCTTTTAAGGACTCTTGTGATTATATTGGACCCACCTGGATAATTGAGGCTAAGCTTATTTTAAGGTCAACTGATTAGCAACCTTAATTCCATCTGCAACCTTAATTCCCCCTTGCCATGTGACATGACATATTCACAGGTCCCAGAGATTAGGACATTAGGACATTGGGAGGCCATTATTCTGGCTACCACAACAGGAAATTAAGAGTTGGAGGTTCTTAACTGCAGCCTTCCTCACACTCTGGCAAGAGAGGCTGTTTTCCATGTAAGTGCCATGAGGATGGAGGCCCTACATGGGGCATCCCCAGTGCCTGGCACAGTGCTGGGCACATAGCAGATGGTCAACACACATAGTACACAAACACACAATACACACAGACACACACACAAACTCACAGGTATACTCACAGATATGTGATACAATATAGATGCAAACAGTTGCATACACAACACACAGTCATATACACAGATACACAGACACATACATTTATTCATATAAGGTGTAACTAAGCATAAAGGTAGTGAAATCGATGCCAGTCTTACTCCTTTATATTACATTTCTGTAATTTTGAAATGAGCTTGTTCTCCGTACTGGCAAATCATATTTCTTTGGTAAGAGCTAAATTATGGTTAATGATGAGGTTAAGCTGGGCATACTGTTTTGGCTTAAAAACTAAATATTGTAAGAGATTGAGTTTCTTGTTTGGCTCTGAAACTGGTTCTGTGAGTGATTCCTAAAGAAATGACTTCTAATGCTTTAGACCATTTGCAGTAAAGTTAACATTTAAGCATCAGCCTCTACCGCTCTGAAGGACAGTAATTACCCGGGTGGACTGCACTGGGCACCTATTGTACCCCATTTACAATCCTCTGGCTCCAGTTCTATCTCACGACCAGTTCTGAGTGGGCGTGAGCACTTCACACAGGTGCAAACTGACTGAGCCACCCCCCAGGCACCCGCCCTCTACCTCCCACTTCCTGTCCTGGGGGGTGCCCATGGCCCCTCCCTTGGCACTTACACATATGCAACCTGCAAATTCGGGGGAGTCAATGGCTGTAGTATCTCCGTTGACTAATTGGGGGGAGGGGACGGTGGAAAAATGCTTCCCCCTTTCATCCTCCAGTTGGAGTGTTCCGAGATGCATTTCCTAAGTTTCCTCAAAAGGTCTTTCAGGATTAAGCAGTGACCTGTAGAGGTGGCCCAGCTCAACAGTGCATCTTGTATTGGTTTTCTCTCCTTTCTTGTTTTGCTCCCCTGCTCCCTGAGATCACGTCCCAAACAAATCACCTGAGCACAAGCATTTGTCTCAGGCTCTGCTTTTGGGGGAACTCGCCAGTCAGTGAATAATCCCTAGCCTACTGTAGCATCAGACTGTCTCCATGTGGATTGAGATGTGATACTGGTGGAAGGTGAAGTGACATCTGTGGCTCCTGAATGGTGTGGGAGTAAGTCATAAAGCTTGAGTGGGTTGCCTTTTGTTAACTGTTCTGGAAGCCCTGGGAAAAGAAAATGAAAAACTTAGTTCAGCCAACCATCAACTCAAGACGTGCTGTGAAGACCAGAATGCGTCTCTGGTGGTATTAAGGAGACACTTGTCTCTTCCAATCCCAGGGCACACTGTGCTGAGAATCAGGCCCAGAATCTAGTTGTAAGGGTGGCAGACCCATTAAGGAGAATGAATATCCACCCTTGACAAATTTTCTGTATCAAAGTCAGGGGGCTAAAAGGGAAAAAGGTAGGACCTTGAGACCTGAAATAGGGGCACTTGAAACAGAGGTGAGACTTTAGAACTCCTAGAATCCCTTGAACCCCCTGGACTGCAGAAGCAACCCCCTACCCCTTATTAGAGGAGAGCAGCTTCTCTTTGCTTGGGGACGCTGCAAAGATTGCACTCAAAGTAGGTACCCCGCAGCATGATGTTAACCCTCAAGCTCCACCTGTGCCCACCTCACCACTGGGCAGATGAACACGGCGAGGTCCCAGTACAACCCAAGCAGGGGAAATACTCCGGAAGGAAACAGCTTATTTGTTGAAGGAACTGCAGGACCTGGCTGATATGAATTAGCAGGCACCAGGGGAAGCTATACGGGAATGATTGGGTCTTTAGGGTGTTGGAAAGGGCCCAGAATATAAGTCTGGAAAGGAGAGAATTTTTTTTACATGGGAGCCCTCGCCTGTGACTCAAGGTTCAATACTATGGCATTGACACCTGGACTGTATCTTAATACACTGCCAGTATTGCTCCTGGAAGCTTACACATGGTATGAACCTACAGTAAATGAGGTGGAGATGCTGAAACTGTCTGGGTGGAGAATTAAGTAAGGGGTCAGAAGGTCCAGGGAGGGGGCCACATTCAAATGGATTTGTTATGTGAGACTGGAGGCCCCATCGCCTGACTGCTGTTCGGGAGGGCCAGAGGGGCGTTCGCTAAGGCAATGATGAGGTACTGGAGAGGGGCCATTAGCACCTTGGAGAAGCTCTGAACTGGCTGACTTCGCAGGCCAGGGTTGACAGGAGGAGATGTTGCCACAGAACCAGACTCCCTAGTATCAATGGGGATTATGGAATTCCAGAATGGTAGAGACCAGGCAAAGGCAATTAACTGGCATCATGGACAGCAAGGCCCTCATCCACTTTCTAGATCTAAGTCAATTCACAGACCCAGAGCCACCTGATTGAAGGGTAGGCTGGGTCCGCTTGAGGAAAAACCCTGCGTGTATTCAATAAACATTTCCCTGATCCTTCTCTGAAGGGTAACTATACAGTGGGGCAAAGGGAATTCTCGCATCTTCTGAAGACCATTGAATCCCAACATCCCCATTAAAACTAGGGGTGTGAGATGACATTGATACCAGGGTATCTGAAACACTCTCATGCTCCTCTGGCTAGAGATGGGTTTATGGAGGCCAGGAGATAAAAGGTGTTCTGGCTCAAGGCTGCCTCTCAGTGGGTTCAATGCGCCCATAGATCGTCCCTGTAGCTCCTTCCCCAGGCCCTGAATGATAAGAAGGTTTTGATAGGACAAGCTGAGTAGCAGTGCTTGAAACTATCCCACCCCCAGCCAAGTTAGTAAATTAGAAATGATACTGCATCCTAGGAGCAACTGCAGAGAACAGTGCCACTTTCAAAGACTTAAAGGGTGCAAGATGGTGGTGGTGGGTCCCTATCATATCCCTGCTGAATTTATCCATTTGGTCCCTGTGAAAGTCAGATGGATTGTGGTGGGTGATGGTGGACTACCGTAAACTTAACCAAGTGGTGTTCCCTATCACTGCTGCCATGTCGGATGTGTTATGATTACCAGAACAGATAATACAGCCTCTGGCATTTGGTAAGCTGCTGTTGAACGGTAAATGCATTCTTCTCAATTCTCGTCAGTAAGGAAAATCAAAAACAGCTCCCTTGCACATGAGAAAGACAGAAGTACCGACTCACTGTCTAGCCCGAGGGCTGTATTAACTCTCCTGCTCCCCATGAGAATATGATCCTCAAGGGCTTCTCTCCTTGCCATTCCACAGAATCCAACTGCTCCCGTTATATTGATGGCTTGATGCTAACAGGACCTGCAGAGCAGGAAGTGGCCAGTACTCTGGATGCCCTAGTAAGGCGCATGAGCACCAGTTGGTGGGAAAGAGACCCCGTGAGGATGCAGGGTCCTGCCACATGGATGGAGTTTTTAGTGGTCCTGTGAGGCATTCCAAAGCATCTCCTTTAAGATAAAGCACCTTGCACCCCACCACTGAGGAAGAGGCACAGGACCTAGCGGACCTCTTTGGATTTTGGAGGCAGCATACATACTTCACTTAGAAATACTACTCTAACTCATTTCTCACTGACTTTGAAAGCTGCCAGTCTTAAGCGGGGCCTGGGACAAGAAAGGGCTCTGCAGCAGGTCCAGGCTGCAGCACAAGCTGCCCTTCACACCATAGCATCACATGCTCTGTCACCATATGACCTGGCAGACCTAGAAGAGCTGGAGGAACCCATGGTGCATAAGGTGCTGGCTCTTTTGAATGTGCAAATCATGGTAAATTAAAACACAACTTTATATGTTATCTCCCACGGTCCCTTTGAAATTTATCCAACAAGGACCATCTTTCCTTGCCCGGGATGAAAATTCCGGCAGGCCTGGCACTTTTCTGCTCATTCTCAGGGAAGACAGTCCTGTGCCATTCTAAGTCTCAATTTGTTAATTAGAAGGTCTAGTCTAAGAAAAATCGAAATCCCAAACTTTATATGTTCAAATCTTCTCCCCTTGCCAGCACAGGCCTGCTTCAAGCTGACAGCCTACAGCAGGAGGGAGAACTTGGTGTCTCTTTTCCATTTCTCCCCTTGCCTGTCTCTCTTTCCCCTTCCTCCAAGCTGACTGGCCAGTTTCTGGCCCCTCCCTGGGATGGAGCAGAAGGTGGGAGCAGTGGTGACGGGGTAGGAAGGGCCTAATGACCTTGAACTGTTAGGGTTCTAGGCTGGCTTTGGGTACGCTGGTCCTGGTGAATGTTTAAAGCTGATTCTTTCTTTCATAGGTTCTTTTCTGGGTTCTTCTGAGGTTTCTGTCTCCAGGAACCTCGCTCCAGCATTTTCCTCCACCTGGGCAGATATAACTGCAGGAAGCTCTTTCCTCAGGCCCAGGAGACTGTCTCTCACCTTCATCCTCTACCAGGATGCAGGTACATTCAGCATTCTCTAGACAGCTTTTTTGGACTGACTCAGGCCAGCCCACACCTGGGCTCAGGAAGCTCTCAGTCATCCCTTGCCCAGAGACATGTGGGGCCTATAGACCTGGCCCAGCACACCCACATCTCCAAGGGGCCCTGTGGCAGCCTCCTCCTCTCTTGGCTTGAGGGAAAGGAGGCCCTCCCTCCTGCTGTTACCAAACCAAGTGGGTTTGCCTCCTGGCAGAGTTAAAATCAGACTCCTGACCAGAAGTAGTTGTCACACAAAGTAGAATTTATTTGCAGCAAATAGGAGGCCACTTGGAATCATTTCCAAAG